TGAACTCTATTTTGATATGAAATTAATTTCATGAGCGATGTTACGTGAGACAACATGAAGTAAGAATCTTATCTAACAGATCTGTTTGAGAGTGGAATATATACAATATCAGAGGTTATGAGAAAAGTTTGAAGTGCGTTTCTGAGAAAAAATGATCCGCATTTTTAAATTGTCTCAGTTCTAACATGAAATAGACACAATAGTATGAATATTTTAATTGGCATGGTTAATATGCTTTGAATCAAGAATAAGTATTTTAAACAAATTGATGAATTAAGAACCTGGACCAAGAAAATATGTTTATTGTAATCCCATTCTTAAAAAATATCATTGACAGATTATTTCCTTGTCTGAACTTTTCATTTTATGAATGTATATATTTATGTATGTTGAGATTAATGTTTCATTTCCAGTTTTTATACCAGGAAGCATGAGTCTTTGCTGACACACTTTTGGACATCTTATTAAATTTCTCATCAAGGAGACATTCCAGGAAGTTTTACAAATTATTCTATCAAAATGCTAGACTTTGGTGGGACATTACAGATTCTTCATTTTTTGAGCTTTCTCCAAAAGTAAGCACTTTTGCATAAATGAATCTGCTAAGTGCAAGAGATTACAAGTGTTCAGATGGCTCTTTCACTGAAGTTGCACTCATATGTTTGTACAATAAACTTGGGCATTTAACTGATGCAAATTTTAGTATATTCGTTGTCCCTCTCGTTTAAAACAAAGATGCTGTTTTCCTGAGACCACTGTTACTTGGAAAACCTTGGCTATCTAACAAGTTCCCAAGAAACATTATTTAATGTACATTGCCAAGAACATTTTAGATAATTCAACAGCATTGCCTTCTTTGTCCAAATATATTTCCTATAAATGTGACAGTTATTTATTGGGACCTTGGTGATTGCATATTTGGATATGACAGGGTTCCAAAAGAAATATATAATTTATAATGAGCTTATAATCATTCTGGAGAAGGAAAATAACTTCGTATGAAACAGCAAAAAATAAACAGGAGAGGATGTAATTTAGTGCCAACTTGGTAAATTAATATTTTTGTTGAATCAGATGGTCATCAGTCATCTGCCTGTGTTACTTACTATCATAATATAATTTTGGATTACTCAAGTCAGTATGAGTCTGGGTTTGCTTCATATTTTCTGAACTTAAAACCTTTTTTTTCTAACTTGGAAGGTTTATTTTTTTCAGCACTTTGACATCAGCACATATTGTTGGACACGTACTGTGTGCCAATATGGGTACTATGTGTCAATATAGACATCGGGCTTATAAATATGAGCAAAACAGTCTCTCTACTTAAGGAACTTGCTGCTTTGTGTGTATAAGTGTCCTGGACGGTGGGGGGGGGCGGGGGTGGCGGCTGTGGGCAGTGGCAGGGAGGAGACAGATGGCCAACATATAAGAAAATAGGTAAGGGAACTTCAGAGACATAAAGGTATTATGACAATGGTAAAAATACTCCAGTGGATGTGCTGCTTGGACTGCTGTTATTGGAAGAGCCCTATCTGAGGAACTCCAGTTTGAGTTGAGGCCTTGAGTGATGAGAGGGCTTAGGTACCTAGTTAGATTTACAGTTTGGAGCCCCAGGGAGTGGTCTTGGTGGAAGACATCTGAAAATCTTCACTGTGGACGCGACCTTGGAAGCCAGGGCAGTCACAGTTGGGATATTGAAGAGGGTGAGAGTTGAGAGCTGACCTTTGTCTTTATCAGATGTCTGTCAGCAGTGACTTTGGGAAGAGCTGTTTTGGGGGAGAAGTGCGGAGGAAAAGCCTAATTAACAGTGAAAAGAGACTGGGAGGTAAGGATATGAAGGCAGTAAGAACATACACGTCTTTGTGGGGTTTTGCTCTGAAAGAGACAGAGTAGAAGGATGGTGGCCTTAAACAGTTGTTCAGATTGTGCATTTGTTGTGTGTGCCTCTCTGCATTTGAGTTGGATTTAATGATACTAGAGCAAAACTTATAAGTGAAGTTAATGTTGCCGAAATCTTGACCTCCCCCTGTCCACTGGTGTCGAATGAAAATGCAGAAACAAAAACAAAAACAAAAAAAAAAAAAGAAAATGCAGAAACAGTTTGGAAGAAATAGAAAAATGGTTTTATCTTTTCTTGGCAAAGTGGAATGCACAGCAGACTAGCACCTCAAGGACTGTGCTCCCCATTCCTGTGAATAGAGAGAGGTTATATCCTGGAGCTTGTAGTCTGTGGATAGGTGATAAGGCTCAAAGCAATGAAGAGCTTGTATTTTGTTTTTCCTTTGGCGAAGTTTCAAAGTGGCCACAGCTGAGATCGTGCAGCTCAGCAACTGGGTCTGGTGTCCCTGAAGTTATCAGCCCGTGACCTTCTTTCTGAAATGCTATCAGAATGGTACAACAGAGTGAAGGGGGAGAAGAATGCCAGGTGCAGAGTGTAATCTATATGGAGTCAGAGAGTAATTATTAATAGCTTTGTGAAGGACAAGTCTAGCTACAAGTGTTTGTTAGTAGTAACAGCTAAAGAATAACCAAGATTGTTTAACTCTTGCAGGCCTGTTTGACTGGTATGTGCCAAAGACTGTTCACTCATTTATGTTTTTGCTGCAATATTAAGACATCTGCACATGTTTTACTTTAATTTTTAAAGTTCCTTGTTAAGCTTTCATAGGAATTGGGAGGCCATAGGAGAGCACTGTTAAAGACTGAGAGTTAAAACTGAGAGTGAAGAACAGAGTTACAAACAGCTGAGACCACAAAGCAAAGAATCAAGTGAAGCTGAGCTCTGGGAGCAGGAGTTTGCAGCAAAGGGTTTATTGCAGGAAGTCAAACAAAGGAGTGGGGGTAGGCTTGGTCTTTGAGTTGGGTGTTTTTAAAGGGGAAGAACAAAGGCTGGGGTCAGTCATCATCTTACATTTAACTACATTCCTTAATCATGGTTTCCAGTGTCAGGATGCTTCTGATTTGGATTCTCTGGCCAGGTGGTCCGTGGCTTGGGGGTCTTTTAGCTCTTCTTGCCTTAGAGAAACAATCCAAGGTTCTGTGTTAATAATGTTGTCTATAATAGCAATGATGTTATCTTTAATACATCAACAATGATATCAACAACAGCAATGTTAGTGCCTTAACGATGTTAACAACATTAATTTTAGCATCTGACTTGAATTGATTGAGGATTGAGGGGACAAGAAAGACTAAAGTTTTGGATAGAGGGATTAATCTTAAACTCCGTTTGGCGGGGACTCAGTATCAGGGTTTCACAGGTAATTTTCACATGAAAGGCCTGCTCAGCATGTGTTTGTCACTTCAGCCCACTCCTATAGGTGGTCCCCTCTTCACACTGTAAATACGTAATAATGGAATATACAGTGAAAATGTCTCTGTACATATGCTTCATGCTGGTTTTCAAAGTGCTTTTACATGTATTATCTTATTTAATGAAGACTGTAAATTAATCTATGGGAGAAATGATAATGCTATTTAAACTATGTATAAAAACTGGGAATGTTAAAAATACTTAAGAATATGTGTTATAAAGATTAACCTGCCTTTATTGTAGATGTCAATATATTATTTAATATGGTAACTAATAATATTGTAAGTAATAACCTTACTTATAAGATTCCTGTCCCTTATTTGTTTAAGGAAATAATTTTGGTAAACATTACTGATAAAAATGGAAATATATTTAATGGCTTTGATAAAAATTATAGGTAAAAATGGAGATATAGTTCAGTTCAGTTCAGTTGCTCAGTCGTGTCTGGCTCTTTGCAACCCCTTGAATCGCAGCACAACAGGCCTCCCGGTCCATCACCAACTCCTGGAGTCCACCTAAACCCATGTCCATCGGGTCGGTGATGCCATCCAACCATCTCATCTTCTGTCGTCCCCTTCTTCTCCTGCCCTCAATCTTTCCCAGCATCAGGGTCTAAGACTCCAAAGTTTTAGCTTCAACATCAGTCCTTTCAATGAACACCCAGGACTGATCTCCTTTAGGATGGACTGGTTGGATCTCCTTGCAGTCCAAGGGACTCTCAAGAGTCTTCTCCAACACCACAGTTCAAAAGCATCAATTCTTTGGTGCTCAGCTTTCTTTATAGTTCCAACGTTCACATCCATACATGACTACTGGAAAAACCATAGCCTTGACTAGACGGACCTTTGTTGGCTAAGTAAGGTCTCTGCTTTTTTAATATACTGTCTAGGTTGGTCATAACTTTCCATTCAAGGAGTAAGCGTCTTTTGATTTCATGACTGCAGTCACCATCTGCAGTGATTTTGGAGCCCAGAAAAAGTCAGCCACTGTTTCCACTGTTTTCTCATCTATTTGCCATGAAGTGACGGGACCAGATGCCATGATCTTAGTTTTCTGAATGTTGAGCTTTAAGCCAACTTTTTCACTCTCCTCTTTCACTTTCATCAAAAGGCTCTTTAGTTCTTCTTCACTCTCTGCCATAATGGTGGTGTCATCTGCATATCTGAGATTATTGATATTTCTCCCGGCAATCTTGATTCCAGCTTGTGCTTCTTCCAGCCCAGCGTTTCTCATGATGTACTCTGCATATAAGTTAAATAAGCAGGGTGACAATAGACAGCCTTGACGTACTCCTTTTCCTGTTTGGAGCCAGTCTGTTGTTCCATGTCCAGTTCTAACTGTCGCTTCCTGACCTGCATACAGGTTTCTCAAGAGGCAGGTCAGGTGGTCTGGTATTCCCATCTCTTTCAGAATTTTCCACAGTTTATTGTGATCCACAGAGTCAAAGGCTTTGGCATAGTCGTTAAAGCAGAAATAGATGTTTTTTTAGAACTCTCTTGCTTTTTTGATGATCCAGCAGATGTTGGCAATTTGATCTCTGGTTCCTCTGCCTTTTCTAAAACCAGCTTGAAGATATAAAACCAGCTTGGAGATATAGTAAATGGATTTAAAAATTAAAAAAAAATGTTCCTGATAGTTTGACAAGTCTGAAGTAAATTAAAATTACTCTTTTTTTCTTTCCTGTCAGAGGTCTCTTTATTAGTATCCATGACCGAGGACATATTTCTTCCGTTCTTAATGCATGGCCAGAAGATGTCATCAAGGTAAGTTAGTTACCACTTTTTTTCCACTGTGGCACATTTGTTCTTTTTCCTGTCCCATAACATACTGACCCTTTTCACAATACTAGGTAGTGGTAGCATTCTCTAGCTTTTCAATTTATATCCCATTGATTTTTGCATAGTGAATTAATTTTATCCTGATACCATCTAGATTCTAAGTTTTCCCTTTATTTCTGCCAAATTTTTTAGCATTTCTTTATTTATTGTAAGTGATGATAAGTGTTGAAAAAATGTTGACGTAGTACCTGAATTTCTTTAAGCAAACTCTTATTTCTTCTGTAATTGATCATCTACTTAGAAGAATCAGTGTGGGCAAAAAAACATCTGTTAATTCATTTTCTTTATCATGGTAACCTCAAGTATCTCATGGGACTTCCTCTAGGAGAGAGGAAGCTAATGAAAACAGAATAACAGTTGTATCTGACATTTGGTAGCTTTCTGAGTGAAACACTTTATCTAGATTAACTCAGGTATTTAGTATCATGGTAATTCCATGAGGAAAGGAAGGCCCAGGTGGATTACACAGTAGTATGTATGTGGTGGTGGTGGGAACTGAATGCTGGTGTCTCAAGTTGCCTTCTCCAAAACAGCCTAACATATTGACCCTTTGTAATGAGACGTGGAAAATTTGACAAAGATCAGCTTTATGGAATATGCAAATATAATTTTCACCCTCCTCTCCCATGTATTTACATTTAAGGCAGTTCTTTAAGAGCTGCATAATATAGGTGAATAAAAAACTAAATAAAAAGGTCTCAAAAATTTTTGTATATATTCTGCACTATTGTGTGGTAGAAAAAGTAAACACTCAGGTCTTGGTTCTTTGACATTAACCAGATAAATCACCTGAGGCAAATTATTTCAGTTTTCTGATCTTCAGAGGCATAGAAGAGGGATAGAAAATAAGAGGGATAGACTGAATATACTCAAAATTCCCCTTTACTTCTAAAATGCTATGATTCTGTTCATTAGTCCTTGTGATAATAATAGTATTAATGCCTACAGTTTTTTTGAGAATTTGTAATGTATCAGGTACTGTGGTAAGTTCTTGTATATCATGATTTCATTGTATTGAATCATCAGTTCAGTTCAGTCTCTCAGACGTGTCCGACTCTTTGCAACCCCATGGACTGCAGCACGCCAGGCCTCCCTGTCCATCACCAACTCCCGGAGTTTACTCAAACTCATGTCCACTGAGTCGGTGATGCCATCCAACCATCTCATCCTCTGTCGTCCCCTTCTCCTCCCGCCTTCAGTCTTTCCCAACATCAGGGTCTTTTCAAATGAGTCAGTTCTTCACATCAGGTGGCCAAAGTATTGGAGTTTTAGCTTCAACATCAGTCCTTCCAATGAACACCCAGGACTGATCTCCTTTAGGATGGACTGGGTGGATCTCCTTGCAGTCCAAGGGACTCTCCAGAGTCTTCTTCACCACCACAGTTCAAAAGCATCAGTTCTTCAGTGCGTAGCTTTCTTTACAGTCCAGCTCTCCCATCCATACATGACTACTGGAAAAACCACAGCCTTGACTAGACGGACCTTTGTTGGCAAAGTAATGTCTCTGCTTTTTAATATGCTATCTAGGCTGGTCATAACTTTGCTTCCAGGAATTAAGTGTCTTAATTTTATGGCCTTCCATCACCAGTCCCATCCACAACTGGGGGTTGTTTTTGCTTTGGCTCCGTCTCTTCATTCTTTCTGAAGTTATTTCTCCACTGATCTCCAGTAGCATATTGGGCACCTACTGATCTGGAGAGTTCATCTTTCAGTGTCCTATGTTTTTGCCTTTTCATCCTGTTCATGGGGTTCTCAAGTAAGAATACTGAAGTGGTTTGCTATTCCCTTCTTCAGTGTTGAATCATAGATCTATTCAATTGACTAATGCTTGTTGATCGTTTTCTATGTGCCATGTGCTGTGCTAGGTGTTGGTGTATGGAGGTGAGCAAAACACAGTTGTTTCCTAATTTCATGCATCTACTCTGTAAAGTACCTTTTTAAATTCCCATTTTTATACATAAGAAACAGAAGCTTTAATTCATCAGTTTATCCAAAGTCAAATAACTGACATTTTATTCTAGGCTCAATGGATATGACAGGTGTAGTAGTTTGTAGAAAATCTAATAAATTTTGTCTCACAAAATTGGTTTTGCTTAAATTCATATAATGGCCGTGAATTACAGAATAAAGATGATAGATCCATTAATTTCAATAAAGACAACAAATTACTTAGAAATAAAATCTCCACATGATTAAAATGCATGCTTTTTAGATATAAAAATAAACTGAAATTAGAAATAAACTACAATAAACTTAGATTAGAAATAAACTAAAAAAAAACCCAATGTCTAGTAATACTGTCAGTTAAGAATAGCAATAGACTGTTCTTGGTAGAATAGTATCCAGTGTAATAAGAGTTAAAGAGGATGAATCAGCATTGTTGTGAAATTAGGAGGATACATAAACTAAAGATCAAAGCATTGGGGACTCCTCAGCAATTATGTGGTATTTAATCATGGGCTCTCCTCTAATGGTATTCAAAATGGATGTGAATAGTTTCCAAGCTGTTGCAAGTTTCACTTTATTTCCCAGTTTGAGCTTTTTATTTACCTGTACTCTGCCCACGTACTCCTCCTGATTGAAGACTGAGTTCTTTGAGTTCTTCGAATCTTTAGGGGCATACCTTGTCTTTTTATTTTTAAACAATCAAATTGATCATATGTATATATTACAAATATTTAAAATACATGTTTTCAATGTATTCTCCCCACTCTTCTACGCTTAATGATTGTACAAAATCATTTCCATCATTTATGATCATATAAAATCATGTCCATCATTTATGTTTTCTGACAGCTTAGTATTTCATTGAATAAATATTTAACTTCAGAAATAGAGAGTAGGAACTATGCCCCAGGATTTGCAAACATCTATTAATATGTTTTTCTTTTTACTTGAGGCTATTGTGGTGACTGATGGAGAACGTATTCTTGGCTTGGGAGACCTTGGCTGTAATGGAATGGGCATCCCCGTGGGTAAACTGGCTCTGTATACAGCTTGTGGAGGGATGAACCCACAGCAGTGTTTGCCTGTCATGCTGGATGTGGGAACGGAAAATGAGGTAAACACTTTTAAGTCTATAACAGCTACACACCTTAAAAAGTAGTACCATTCCTGCATTTTGAGATTATTTTAGAAACCTCATGAAATTCATCTTTTTTCTTTTTGATTCTTTCTCTCTCCTCAAACCCATCCCTCAACTCTTATAAGAAAAATTATTCATTCTCTTTTCCTTTCCTTTTCTTCTTTTCTATAATGTGAACAATCTTTTACCAGCTTCTTTAGTGTTTTATTATCCTTTAGTAAGCACTCACCCCATTATTCTGTAGCGTATATAATTTACTTTAGGGTATCATAGTTACTTTCTAAAAATTAGTATTTTTATACTAGGCAGAAGTTTATTAAGTATAGTCAGTGTGATATCTTGAAGTCTGCAGTAGATTATTTGGAGTTTAGCATTTCTCTTTACTGCATTGATAGAATCTTAAAGTTATATATTAAGTAGTGCATAATTTTGCTCATCTGTAATTGGTAATACTTGGGTTAGCTGTGGGTGATAGATGAGCTTCCCAGGTGGCGTTAGTGGTGAAGAACCCTCCTGCCAGTGCAAGAGACATAAGAGACATGGGATCAGTCCCAGGGTCGGGAAGAGCCCCTGAACGAGGGCATGGCAGCCTACTCCAGTATTCTTGCCTGGAGAATCCCATGGACAGAGGAGACTGGCGGGCTACGGTCCATAGCGTCACAAAGAGTCGGACACAACTGAGACAACTGAGCACACAAACATGGGTGATAGATGGTAGAAATTAAAGGTAGAATTTTCTGAATTAGAGATGAAAAATAATGGTCAGTTAAGATAGACTTTTTAAAAGTTGCATGCAAATATCAAACCCAGGCCTAGAATGTCATCATCAAATGAGATCTTTATCATGTTAAGGTGTGTTCTCTCTGTAACCACTGTGTTCAGGTTTTATCATTAATGGATGTTCAATTTTGTTAAAAGACTTTTTGACATCTGTCAAGATGAATATGATTTTTTTTATTGTTTAATTGGTTAATGTGGTATCTCGCATTGATATGTTACATCACATTAATTTGCTGATATTGAGCCGTAGTTGCATTCTTGGGATAAATCTCACTTGATTGTGGTGTTTGATTCTTTTGATGTATTACTGAATTTGTTTTGCTAATATTTAGTTGAGGATTTTTGTTTCTATGTTCATCAGTGACATTAGCTATTAATTTTTTTTTGTATGGTACATCCTTGTCTTATTTTTTATATCAAGGTGGTAGTGGCCTTTAGAATAAGCTCGGAAGGATTCCTTTCTCTTCTAGTTTTTGGAATAGTTTGAGATGGATAGGTGTTAACCCTTCTTGAAATGTCTTATAGAGTTTTCCTGTGAAGCCTCATGGTTCTGTACTCTCATTTATTGAGATTTTTTATTATTATTATCACTGATTCAATTTCATTTCTTATAATAAGTCATTAGTATTTTGTATTTTTTCCTGGTTCAGTTTTTGGGAGATGTAAATTTCTAAGAATTTATTCATTTCTAATAGGTTGTCCATTTTATTGGCGTATGATTGTTCATAGTAATCTTTTATGATCCTTTGTGTTTATGTGGTGTCTCTTTTTTTAACTTTTCATCTTTTATTTCTGCTTTTATGTATTTGGGCCCTTTCTCTGTTTTCCTTGATAAGTCTGACTAAAGGTTTATTAATTTTGTTTATCTTTACAAGGGACCAGCTCTTAGTTTCATTGGTGTTTTCTGGTTTTTTTTTAGTCTCTATTTCATTTATTTTTGCTCTGATCTTTATGATTTTTTCCTTCTTTGGGTTTTGTTTTGTCTTCTTTTTGTAGTTCTTGAGGTGTAAGGTTAGATGGTGTTAGATTTTTCTTTTTCCTGTGGTAGACATATATTGCTATCAACTTTCTTCTTAGAAATGCTTATGCTGAGTACCTTAGGGGTTTTGTTTTTATTTTTGTTTTAATTGATGTATAGTTGATTTACTATATATTATGTAAGTTTCAAGTGTACAGCATAGTAATTCAGTTTCACAATCTTTAAAGGTTATATTCCATTTATAGTTATTATTATATAAAATATTGGCTATATTCTGTTTTATACAATATATCCTTGTAACCTATTTATTTTATACATAGTAGGTTTGACCTCTTAGTCTCCTATCCCTCTATTGTCCTTTACACCATTTCTTTCCTGTACTGATAATCACTAGTTTGTTCTCTATACCTGTGTCTGTTTCTTTTACATTATGTTCACTAGTTTATTTTGAGATTCAGCATATACATGATATCTTACAGTATTTGTCTTTCTCTGTCAAACTTATTTGACTTTCACTTTAGTATAATACCCTGCAAGTCCATCCAAGTTGTTATAAAAAGCAAAAGTTCATTCTTTTTTATGGCTGAGTAATATTCCATTGTGTGTGTGTATGTGTGTGTGTGTGTGTGTGTGCGTGCACACTTGCTCACGCCACATCTTCTTTATCCATTCGTCTCTTGTGGATACTTAGGTAGCTTCCAAACCTTGGCAATCATAAATAACACTATGAACATTGAGGTTCATGTATCTTTTCAGCTAAGTGTTTTCGTTTTCTTTAGGTATATAACCAGAATGTAATTGTGTGGCCATTTGGTAGCTTTGTTTTTAGTATTTTGAGAAACCTTCATACTATTTTCCATAGGGGCTACACCTATTTACTTTCCTGCCAGTGGTGTATGAGGGTTCCCTTTTCTGCACATCCTGCCAACATTTGTAGTTTGTGGTCTTTTTGATGATAGCCATTCTGAGAGGTGTGAGGTGATTTCCCATTGTGGCTTTAATTTGCATTTCTCTGATGATTAGTGAGGTTAAATATCTTTTCCTGTGTCTGTTGGCCATCTGTATGTCTTTGAAAAAATGTCTATTCAGTTCCGTCCTTTTTTTAATCAGATTATTTGTTTTTTTAATGTAAGCTGCCTCTATATTTTGAATATTAACCCCTTATTGGTCATTTGCAAATGTTTGCTCCCATTCAGCAGGTCACCTTTTTGCTTTGTTGATGCTTTTATTTCCTGAGCAAAAGCTGAGTTTAATTAGATCTGATTTGTTTATCTTTGCTTTTGTTTCTTTTGCTTTTGGAGACAGATTCAAAAGCATGGTTATGATTTGTCAGAGTGTCCCAGCTATGTTTTCTTCTGGGAGTTTTATAGTTTCTGGTCTTAACATTTAGGTCTTGAATCCATTTTGATTTTATTTTTGTGTATGATGTTCTAATGTCATTCTTTTACATGTAGCTGTTCAGTTTTCCGAGCACTTGTTGAATAGATTGTCTTTTTTTCCATTTCATATGCTTGCCTCCTTTGTCATAGATTGATTGACCATAAGTATGTGGAGTTTATTTCTGAGCTCTCTGTTCTATTCAGCTGATCTGTGCATCTGTTTTTGTGCCAGTGTCATGCTGTTTCGATTATTACGGTTTTTAATACGGTCTGAAGTCAGGGGTCCTGATTCCACCATCTCTGTTCTTCCTCCAGATTGTTCTGGCTGTTGGAGTTCTTTTGCGTTTCCAGAGAAAACTTTAAATTGTTTGTTCTAGGTCTGTGGAAAATGCCCATGGTATTTTGATAGGGATCGCACTGAATCTATTCAGTGCCCTGGGTAGAATGGTCATTTTAACAACATTAATTTTTCTAATCCATGAACATGTTATATACTTCCATAAGTTTATGTCATCTTCAATTTCTTTCATCAGGGTCTTGCAGCTTTCTGTCTTTTACCTCCTTAGATAGGTTTGTTCGTAGGTGTTTTATCATTTTTGATGTGATGGTAAATGGGATTGTTTCCTTAATTTCTTTTCCCGATCTTTTGTTGTTAGTATATAAGAATCCAAGAGATTTCTGTGTGTGAATTTTGTATCCTGCAACTTTACTGAATTCTTTGGTGAGCTCTAGTAGTTTTCTGATAGCACGTTTAGAACTTGCTATGTATGTGCTAAGTTGTTCAGTGGGTCCAACTCTTTGTGACCCCATGGACTGTAGCCTGCCAGGCTCCTCTGTCCATGGTATTCTTCAGGTTAGAATACTGGAATGGGTTGCCATTCTTTTCTCCAGGGGATCTTCCCAACCCAAGGATCGAACTTGTGCCTCTTAGGTCTCCTGCATTGGCAGTCAGGTTTTTTACCACTAGTGCCACCTAGGAAGTCCCCTTGCTATGCATATTATCATTTAATCTACAAACAGTGACAATTTTATTTTCTTTCCAATTGGAATTCCTTTTATTTCTTGTAGAATTGCCATGGCTAGGACTTTCAAAACTATGATGAATAAAAGTGGTGAGAGTGGATATCCTTGTCTTGTTCTTGGTCTTAGAGGGAATGTTTTCTGCTTTTCACCATTGAGAATGATGTTGGCTATGAGTTTGTCACATATGGCCTTTATTATATTGAGGTAAACTCCCTGTATGGCCACTTTCTGGAGAATTTTATCCCAAATGAGTATTCAATTCTGTCAAAAGCTTTTTATGCATCTATTGACGTTATTATATGGTTTTTATTCTGTTTGGTAATGTGGTATATCACACTGATTAATTTGCAGAAATTGAAGAATCTTTGCATTCCTGGGATAAATCCCATTTGATTATGGTGTATGACCCTTCTAATGTATTGTTGGATTCAGATTGCCACTATTTTGTTGAGGAGTTTTGCGTCTGTGTTCATCAGTGATATTGGCCTGTAATTACTTTTTTTTGTGATAGCTTTGTCTGATTTTGGTGTCAAACTGAAGCTGGCCTTGTAGGAGTTCGGCAGTGTTCCTTCCTCTGCAGTTTTTTGGTATAGTTTGTAGAGAAAAGGTATAAATCTGTTCTGAATGTTTGGTAGAATTTACTTTTGAAGCCATCTGTTGGGAATTTTTAAAATTACTCATTCAATTTCATTACTGGTGTTAGGTCTGTTCACATTTTCTGTTTCTTCCAAATTCAGTCTTGGGATAGTGTACATTTCTAGAAATTTATTCATTTCTTCTCAGTTGTCCATTTTATTTGTTTATTGTAGTCTCTT